TAGAAAAATGGTACAGATGAACTAGTCTGCAGGGCAGAAATTGAGACACAGATGTAGAGAACAAATGTATGGACACCAAGGGGGGGAAAGCGGCGGGGGTTGGGGGTGGTGGTGTGATGAATTGGGCGATTGGGATTGACATGTATACACTGATGTGTATAAAACTGATGACTAATAAGACCCTGCTGTATTAAAAAAATATAAAATAAAATTAAAAAAAAACTTGCCCAATGCCATTCTGTTCCTTATCTTTACTTAGGTATACTTCAGGTAAGATTTATACTTTGCTTTAAAAAAACTCAAGACTATTTAATGTTTTAAAATTTGGTACAAGAAAACACATTGTAGGCAACTGTCGTTCTCTATAGCAGGAAAAAAGGGAAAGTTTTTGCCTTTTTCCATTTCTTAGAGACAGAGAAATGGCAAGCAGAAAAACCCAATGATTCGTGAAGGCTCTCAAAAAAGTTCCACAGCAGGTTTTGCAGGCAGGGCCTTGGCCTTGGGTTGAGTTCCTAAGAGATTCTGTCTCACTGACCAAATGGCATTAAGTAGCAGCAGTCAGGTGAGTTATGGGGAGCTGGGGCGGCCCTGAGTCATAGAACCACAAGGAATCTAGTTTCCTGCCAATTCATGAAATACTAGACTGGAGGTGTCCAAAAGCTTTATGCAAGGGGACCAGCACGCATCAGGCTGATGATTGACAATATTCCATCGCTACCGTGCCCTTTGGAAATAGGATGCTAGACGTTTCCGATTTCTGCCATGTGGACTGGGTAACCTAGGAGAGTGTCTCTATACCTGAAGGAAACTGAAAACATGTTACACAATGAAGGTGACAAGGATGCTCAGTCAATGACTGGTAACAATGACAACAGCCGTGATGATAAATGAAAATGATGAAAAATGATTATTCATTTAAATAAACTGATAACTATATGTCTGTATTTTATTTCCAGGTGTGAAGATCAGGAAGCTAGAGGAACTATCATATTTTCCAGTACTTTAAACGTTTGGATCTGTGAGAGAAAATATTAGTATACCATGTCCGTAATATCTGTAAGTGCCTCCTGCTGAGTGCTGGTGAAGAGGCCATGGCCATATAAGCCATATTTTATATCTTCAGGGCCAAACAATGAGATATTTGGAAATATCTAGGAATTGATTACAGGTAGAAAAAAAAATCACTGTCGAACATATTTATCCTTGACATAAAATTAATAGAGTATGGTAAAAATTTTAAATGCATCTCTAACATTATTTCTGTGTGCAAAATAGAGAGTACTGAGCTAAAAGTAAGAAAAATAATCTAGCCATGATGTATGCTTTCATGGCTGTATCAGTGAGTGAAAGCACCTCATAAACTCTTGGCAGCAGCTTTCTTTTACTGGGAAATGGTCATTTCTCTCCATTTGGCCTCAAGAGGGACTCAGGTATGCAAGCCAGGGAACCTGGAAAGAACACAGTTCTAGCTTCCACAGAAGGCAGTTCAACCTTGGAACACCCTGCAGGGACCATCTTCAACCTGGTTTTGAGATGACTGGTTTTCTCCACTTTGTTTCCACAATATAGGTTACCTAGATCTGACACCCACTGGCACGATAGGTTACCTTGCTGTATTGACATCACTGTGGGTCCAGAGATTATCATTATCTTTAATCCTCAGAATAACCTCCTCAAGAGTCACATCGAAGAACTCTAGCCCAATAAGAACACTGTGCCTTTTTCTCTAACTAGTGAGAATAACTTGTTTCCAGAGTCATCTATAAGTTTCTTAAAATAATAGGAAGTAAACTTATTATAGAAATTCTGATGGATACCACCAGGCTCAGTGAAAATAAGGAAAGGGTAATTAAAGCAATGGATGAAGAGTGAGGCCCTTCCATGTTTACCTAAAATGGGGGCTAACTGTCTCGGTTAATTAGAGCACAGTGAAAATGAGAAGACATGTATATGTTTGTTCATCACTTGGGCCTGATAGTTTCACACAAAGGAAAAATATTCAGACCCTCACCACCAAGCTTAGGCACCAGTGGGACAAACGCCTGCTGTGAACCACAAGAGGGCCAGGTGAAAAATAATTCGAGCACACGCTGACTTGATGGTGGGAGCAGTGGCATAATTTACACAAATGTTACAGCTGGGAAGGTTCTGGGCTGAAAGATCTCGCTAGATGGCACATAACGCTACAGGTATTTGACCATTAGCCCTCCCCTCTTTGTAAATATATTTTGTAAGAGAAAAGGTAAAGAAAGCTTTAATGTTTCCATATCTTCTGCTATCAAAAGTTCTCCAGAATCCAAGGAAGCACTCACCAAGTGACCTTTAACCCTGAGGTATATCTAATTCAGGAACAAATACCTGCTTTCCCTTTTTTTTTTTTTTTTTAACAGATGTAATTCTGAAATGTAGATCACAATTTTTACAGACACTGGGGAGAGGGTCAGCAAGGGGATGGCGTGGCATTCAGGGGAGCACCACCACGAATGTCACGGCACCGTGATGCCCTGATAAACGGCTTGGTTGGAAGTCAAAGCAGTGGTTTTACTCTCAGCATGGCATCAACAAGATCTGAAGCACATCTTCCATCTATCTGAGCCTCAGTAAAACACGGATAATAGCATTTCCCCTACTTACTGAGATGCACCACAAGGTATTAAATAGCAGCATTTGGAAGGAAGGCACTGAGCACTACAAAAATGTGAGATGAATCATTAGCATACGACTCCACAAGGATAAAGAGTGAAAAAGCGAGTCAACCCCCGGCACGTTTGGACCACGTGCCAGGTGTTTGGTGCAGGACAAACATCTGGATGTGTGATTATATTTTGTATTCTTCCTTCAGCTGTTAGAATATTCTAAATATTAGGGATCAGCAAAAAATTACTTTGAGCTTTGAAAATGGGACCTGGTGAAAAGTTTAGACTATTAATTGGGAGCTGGCAGAATGCTTTCAAGAATGATAACAAACCAGGCTGAGAAAAACCTTTCTGTCATATATACAGAAAGGCTTCTGTCGTAAGGGCAAAGGCTCCAAATCAGGAGGAAGCTTCAGCAGTTCTCTTTGCCAGCATCCTCTTATAGCATTTCTTCTTCTACCCTTAGAATTTCCAGTTGTATAATTCAGTTATGTATTAGGACAAGGTGTTAGAACACTTTGCGGGTTCCAACTGATTTGGATGATAATGAGTTAACATACAATGGGCAGCACTTCTAGATTCTACAAGAGTCACTGCTTCCCCCCTCCCCCCAAGGAAAAAGCAAACGTCAATGCTACTTTATTAATTTTTAATTATGTCTAAATTGAAGCCCAGTATTCCTTTTCCTGATGCAGATACCACTTATGGTGTGATTTCAGTCAAAACATTTTCTTAGTCTCTATTAATCCCTTCTCTGTAAAGGAAAATGACATTTGCTATTTATCTCTCTGAAAGCATACTGAAATAACTTTATTTTCCCCAAATGCATATTATGTATACACAAAATAAGTATTTTCTACGTTCTTACTGAAGTTTAAAATATTGTCTTTTTAATGGGATAGGATGGCCTCAAGTTTGACTATAACTGTACAAAATGCTCGAGGAACTGTCTTTTTGCCACAAACATCAAGCAGATTAAAAATCTTGAGGACAAACAATATTTACAGATACTGACAATTCCTTCTCAGCTTGGGGCCATTCTGTACTTCACAGTTTGGACAAAACCATTCTGTAAAGTGCTGCAGATACAACTCTTAGAGTTAAAAGTCCCAAGATTAAGTCCTGAGCCACAGCTTTGCAGGGGAATATTTTTTATATTGCCTCTGGAAATACCACAATTTAGATAGAGCAGTGATATCAGACAAAGTTGAAAAGCACACTGCTGTTACAGAGCAGTCTGTTTTCCTGATTCTCAGAGCCTTAATATTTTAAGACTGACATTACTCATTATGACTGAGCCATCTGCCCACGACAATCTTCCATGGCTCAGGGACCAGGAGTGACTGGATGTGATGGGAAGCTGGGGTGCAACCAGCCTGCTCAAGCAGATTGAGCCCTGAGGCTCAGCGAGCCAGCAAAGAATTGGACAGACAAGATTATTCCATTACATCCAGTTCTGCTGAGGTCATGGAGTCCTGCCTTGTTTAAATTAGACTTTACGCCATATTTAGTCAACCCTCATAGAGTTAAAAGTTTAGTGTCTCTGTTGTCTTCAGTTGGCTAAGTCTACATCAGGCTGCAAGCCATAACACTCAATTAAACCAAACAGTTCTGGCTGCAGAGCTAGTCAACATGCAGTGTTAGGTGCCTGTAGCCGAGAACCATCCTCCCTGATAATGTGAAAGAAAACGGACCCACAATTCACAGAGCCATCAGGAAAACTGCTGATGCTCTAAGGCTGCAGTGTACAGTATCATCGTTTTTCTCCAGATAAGCTAAGACAAGAGGGACTTTCTCCAGGGAGAGCCTGTCTGACTGCACACAGGCATCTACACCCGCCCCACACCATGTGCCAATCATCTTTACTATAGTCTATTTTTTTCTTCTTCGATATTTAACTTCTATTTTCACGAGGTCCACGTTTCTTTGCTCACTTTGATTAATTTTATCCTCCATCAGTTTAACTTAAACCAGACCAATAATTCTTACGGGAGAAACATTTAAGAGGGGTCACTTTATCGGGCAGATCCAATAGATAAGTAACATGCAAATTACAGAGTAATAAATTAATCCTAACTTATTACCCTGTGAATTAGGATTGAATGTCAAAGTAAGTCTTATTTTTGGCATTCTCCCTTTTCAGTGATCACACACTGCAATCTTCACAATAAATAATTTTGCTTTAGTAAGTGGCTCTGCAGACCCCTGGTTATTAGGGACAGCTCAGGTCACAGTCACCCCCGAAGCCTCCCATCAGTTGCCTCTCAGTATGAGTTTGCATGTAGGAATGGTTACTGCTGCCCAGAAGAAGCCTGTCTGATGTTAATTAACTCATCAGTTCCCCTCTACTCTCCCTGCACTCACCTTGGGGATGCTGAGCTGTTCCTGGGGAGGAAGATGATACCGTGAGAGCCTCTTGCGAGTCTAGAGATGAAGGGCAACGGCTCAGGCGGGTGGGTGAGGCAGGGGCTGCCGGTGAGGTCAGGTCCAAGGAGAGGTCAGCTCTGCCCCGGCTCACACTTCGGCTTCTCAGTTCCTTCTCATGCGCCTCAGCTGCCAACTGCTCCAAGTATTTGTATCTGAAAGTTAAATTCCAAAGGGTTTCCGTAAAAAGAAAGAGGAGCCCGTGGCTGATGCTTGTTTATGGATGAAACACCTGCAGAGTGAGCTGGTTTCCTGATGCACAGAGTACAGCGCAGGGCTGGCTGGAGGGCCCGTCTGCCAAAAACACCCAGCAAAGCCAAGATGCTAATGATTAAAAATCCTGCATCATTCATAACCAAACAAACAGGGGGAAGTGGCAACATCACAGTCTCCAGATACTAGATCCCTGCTGCAGAATCCTATTTTGCTCTTTTAGGAAACATTTGTACCAGCAAGCAAAACAGCATTAATGACCATCAAAAAGCCCCAGCAGTGACAGCTGAAAACCACACTCCCTCAGAGCTCGCAGCTGTGAAATGCGAGGGTGCCTTGGTGCGGCAGAGAGGAACAATGCCCCAAAATACCAAAAGGTTGTTGGACGAAGCCCTCTCTGGATTTCTGAACCTGCTTCAATGCTAACAGCAATGTGGCTGGAATTCACTTTGTTCTCTCGGTGTCGACCATGGAAAGTTTTTTATATTCTAAAATATTTCTGAGTAGGACTCAGACATCCAATAGCTTGGACCTGACGTCACATATAGTTTATTCATCAAAGTCAGTTTAAAAGAACAAAGATACATCTGTTTTGCATTTCAGGCAGGCAGAACCCAGTAACTGTTTATTAAGACCAGCTACCAATCATCTTCCTCATAGTGTGCTTTATAGATCAGACCAAAATAACTTTGAAATATGTGCCTCTTCCAGATGTCTGCTAATTTTACCCACCATTATTTGTTCAGGAATAAATTTATGAACTCAGCTGTAGCAGGTTTCTGACTATCGTACCCTCCATGAAACTTTGAGACAGCTTATTCCAGACCCTCCCTCACATCCATCCAGGTTCACTGCTTCAGTTTCTTCCAATGGGCAGGCCCCCACCCCCAGACACTGCACACCGCACTTTTACTTCAGCCTGATAAGAAAGGCAGAGCGCACAAGTAAAACCTTTCAGAAGGATGCATTTAAAAAGCACGTGTTTCTTCGTCCATCCTTCGGGGGGCGTGGCCCCCCACATCTGTAGTCATCACCCCTTCTCTCTGCCAGTCCCAAGGCAGTCAGTCTGCCCTTCAGGACAGGCTCGCACACGCGTCTCCCTCCGGGAGGCCTGCCTTGACCACCACAGCTGGAAGTGATCCTGGCCTTGCCTCTGAACTCATGTCGGATATGTAGTCCATTCAACTCAGATGGCATTTTACATTTACTGCCCGGCATATGTAGTCGTCTTTTCACGTGTGCAGGTCTGTTTTCAACAAACAGATAATAGGATTTTTGAGACCAGGAAGGTTACCATCCTTTGCCCTTTCCTTCGGCACTGTGCATTCGTTGGCCGACGGGAAGCAGGCGACGTGTGCATTGAGGGACCTGCCAAGCAGTAGCCTACCTGTACGTCTCCCTGCAGCCCAGGGCACCAGGGGGCAGAGCCAGCTGACTGCACTTTCCTGGGGAGTGAGTGTACTTTCATGGTGAATCTCTGATAAAAGACGTGGGACGGATCTGCATTTACAAACGTCTGCGTCACCCTTACCGGGTGAAGCTAGACCCAGAAAGAAAGCTTTAGAAACTCTGGACTTTCCTTGCCAACAATGTCACCTCTCGAACAGCGCGAGAGGGGCCAAAAGGAAGATATTTCTGAACTTGAATCAGACCAGCAAGGAAAAACCACCTGGCTGTGGAAGTGACAGGAAACGTGGAAGAAAGTGTTCTTGAGGGCAAGAGTCAGAGCCCATATTTTAAAAAGTCTGGGGGCAAACGGAAGGCCAGGAATGCTACGAGCCCAGGAGGAGTTCCTGAGCACAGGTGTCCGCACATGGAGTCCAAGCCGTCTGCGACAGGATGGGGGACAGGAAGGAACAAAGTGCAAACCAAGGGGCCTGCACATGTCCAGGAGATCGGGATCCTGGAGGAGGGAAACAGTGCCCTAACAAAATCAGAAGGGTCCAGGGAGAGAGGTAAGAAAGCCTCACACAAAAGACTTCAGGCCAGGAGGACAACCGATCACTAACCTCCATTCAGCTGGCCTGGCCCTGGACCTGGCCTCTCCATTCCCCTCCCTGTGGGCAGCCAAGCTAGCAGGTATGTACTGGCAGCCAAAGGGTTCACCCCATTTTCCGGGGGACCCCAGGGGTGGCTCATCCAGGTTCTGGGTAGACATGACTCGAAGACTACTCCTGTGCACCCCTCGGCTCACAGATGTCATCCCTGAGGATCCTTTAGACAGGGGGAGAGTCAGGGGTTGAAGCTGAATCATTCCGAGGATGTTTACATGGTAAACAAAAATGGCAGGGGAAGGGGCACGGGGCCTTACTAAATGGGTAGAAATTTTCAGTTCTACAGATAAAGAGTTCTGGAGGCTGGTTGCACAAATACGTGAATGTATTTAACACTACTGAATTATACACTTAAAAATGGTTAAAATAACAAATTTTATGTTATGTGTATTTTTCCACAATTAAAAACTTTAAAAAATGGAAGGGGTGGGGAGGCCCAGGTGTCAAGAACCACTAAATCTTTCAGTGTTCCCCCGAGATGGGCCAGAGTGGGGAGGGTAAACGGGCGTGCACGGGGAAAGCCAGGCTACCCGGCATGGAGAGCTATCTCCCACAGAACCTGGGGAGGAAGCTGGACCTATATCCCGACCTTCCCTTAGACAGTGACTCTAAGTGGTACTTGATCTAGGAGCCCGCCAGCCCATCTGATGACTGTCACATCTCTGGCTGCCTAGCAACACCACCCCCAACCCACAGACTCTGATGTAGCCTCCCAGGTACAAAGCACTGGGTTTTCTATCCACAGACCACAGCCCCCCAAAAAAGACTTTTTCACCTTCGCTACCCTTGTTGAAACAGTCTCATTGTCCTGCCTGTCCATGTCTTTGTCTTTTCGTTATTTATTAAATGTTCTGTTGCGTGCCTGTCATGTGCTAAAAACTGCAGTAGGCACTAGAGATTTAATAATACATAAGAAAAACCCCACCTTCTTGGCACTCATAGTTCAGGCGGAGGTACAGAAACAAACTTTGGTATGAGCTCAATACCCAACAGGGTTGCAGGTGGCAGGGCTGGTACTGCCATCAAGGGCACATACGATCATCTCTTTTCGCAGGGTCCAATAGAAACCCTGCTTGACTTTCAACTATACCGACTTACTAATGACTCTTCCTGCCACCCAACTACTCGGAAATTCTACCTTACATTAAATCAAAACCTGGCTCCCTCTAAGTTCTACTGTGTCCACAGACCGTGCTCAGAACCCTCTCTTACTGCTTCATGATCACTTTCAGGCATAATTTCCCAAATCCTTGCCCAGTCCCAACTTCCTCCCTTGCACTCTGTCCTCAGAACCTGTTTCCCATAAGGTACCTCCTCTCCATGTCCCGCTGTCTCCCTCAGACTCCTCTCCACCCTGACCCCCACCCCACTCCAATAGTTCCCAGCCTGCATCTCATTCCTTACCACACCTAAAAAAGGATTATTCATGAATGTCAAGTCAATCAATATCAGAGAGATCCTCTCTTATAATACTTAAAAAAAATTAGAAATAAACCTAACAGAAACTTACTCTGGGTCTGCACCATTATCAATAAAACACTGCCTGAAATTATGGAATGAGATGACATGAATTGAAATTTTAAAATTAAAACATTCATTACCCCTCAAAATAGCAAAATGACATTTATCTTGTTACACTCGATGATATGAACCTCAAAAACCCTCTGCTGTGCCTCTTGCTGTCTTTTTGAGTCTTTGCATTAGGGGAAAGAGTCATGGGACCAAACAAACATGAAGAGTTAGAGTCCTCTTCCATGTCTCTTTCCACCTCTGATCTCCATTAGTTTCCCCATCCATTTCCAAATTCCATTATACTTGGAAATCTTATCTTTTCCTGGCTTAACAGGAATTCCCAACTGCTTTCCAACAAGGGATGAAAGTATATCTCCCTCACTTCCATCTTTACCAGGTAATTCAAGCACCCAACTAACCAGGAAAAGTGGCTGGTCCAAATCAAAGGAAAATGCTTGGCTGCTTCCCCAAACCTCTGGGGAAACAGGGGTGGGCTGTAAGGAAGGAGTCCCCCGTGGAGCCATGGAGAGCCCACTCCTGCACCAGCTAAGAACGCCCAGGCAGATGGGTGGTGTGGGGCTGAGGTCGGAGAGCAGAACAACAAGGGAGAGAAGAGGAGTGGAAAACTCCTCTGCATGAATTTTCCAGGTATAAGTGATGCTCCACTTTGGGGGAAAGAGCAGTAAATAATACTCGGAAAGAGGTAGTAGCCCTAAGGGATCTGGGAAAAATTTGAGGTCAGTCTGAATCAATTCAGACCTTGGCACAGCACCTGGTCATCTCTCCAGGAGCTTTGAGGACTTGCCTGTGCAGACATAACATGACAGTCAAGTTGTCCAAAAGTTCAAAAAAGTGAAGAATCTGGTGGGGAATCTAAAAAATAAAATTCGATTTCTTAAACCTGGGTGTATACGTCATGTCCCCCAATGTCAAAAACAGGTACTAATTAGACACAAAAAAGTCTCTTTGTTTCTTTGCCAGCAACTTTCACTCTAAACTTGCTGGCCACAACTGATTACCAGGATGGCAATAATCTAACAGAATGCCGGAATTAAAGCAATGCCATGGTTTTGTTTATGAGGCTGACGTAAGCATCTAATTTTTAAATTGAACACAGGCAGTATCCACTCTTCCCTGCCTCAGACTGTCCTGATCTATTTAGCTGATGGTGTCTAAAAAAAATTAGCACAATTCCACTTTTTATTGGCATAATTCAGAGACTATTAGGTTCCTGACTGGCTCTGGCATGAACTCAGCCTTTCAGCTCTCCATGCAGTAACCCCATCTGGTGGTGGAGGGAATAACTGCAGGCTGTACAGTGCTGGGGGTAAACTTGCCTTTTGCTGGTCTACTTCCAAAAACAATTTCCTGTGCTTATCTAAGTTTACCAGACACTGAATACATTAACTTGGCATGGTTTAATGGGATTCAAAGTATGTTGCTATTGAAATGAACATTGAAATGGTTTACAGCTTAAATATTTTAAAGCTGTTGGTTCTTTTGCTCATTTATTCGATACATCCTTCTTAACTGTCTGCTATGTGCAAGCCCTGTGGCGGGCACTGGGACACCAAGGAAAATCAGGTATGGTTCCTGCCATCCAGGAACTGAGTGCGGTTCAGTAGGAAGACAGGCAAATGATCAGGCATCTCCATGGAGAGTCTCAGGAGGGTGTGGCACCCCAGCCAGTGCATGGCATAGTGTGTGTGCTCAAATATTTGTTGAAGAAATGCTGAACAAGTGACTTGGAAACACACAGGAGGGACACCTAACCCAGGCTCAGCAGTGGTGGTGCAAAGCATTTAAAATATATACCATATGCCAATATGCCAAACGAATATGCTTATTTGGTGAACAGTTTTGGAGGAACAGACACATATCTTACACCATGAGGGCACTAAATAATAAATCTGCACTTTCTTGGAAAATTGAGATAACCAGGACACTCTATTCTGCAAAATGCCAGGTACCCAAGGTCTTAGGTGTCTTAGGTGAAGCTATTATATTTTAATTAACACAGTCTCCTCTGCATGCCTGGTTGAGTGCAAAGTCACGTGCCATTTGGTTACAAGGGGAAAGAAACGAATACAAATACAAACCTTTCTTCTCTTGCTTGTCTTTGCTCTTCTCTTTTGTCTAAATATTCTCGGCTAATGGAAATATGCAGAAGAAATGAAATGGGAAAGGAAAAGAACAGAATTAGATGCTCATAAAATTGCCAAGAAATCATTAACAGAGTATATAATGAAAGCCCACTATCGTATCAGAAATGGAAAGTGGTTGTCATTGAATTTTTAAAAAATAAATATAAAGGCTATACTTTAAAAGTACTAAATATAATGAGTTTTCTATAAGATCACAGGGATGAAAACATGGGATTACTGGATTCACTCAGAGACTTTGCTAATTACTCTTCAGAAAGAAGACTAAGTATACAAGGGGAGGGGAGATAAAAACATTTTTAAAAGTTAAAACAATTCATAAATAAAATATGGCAATGACAAGCAAGCAATAGCTTTCAGAAGTGATTAACACATAATCAAGCTCTGGTAACTCCCCAACATTCATCTCAAGAATTAAATCTGAGTGGGCCCAAGTGTCTTGGCCATTTTGTGTTGCACTCTACAGTTTGCACGTTCCTTCCAGGGCCCAGGATTCTTTCTCCGCATCCCTCACATTCTCGGTTTCTAAGCAGGGATCACTGGAAGCTCTTGCTTTGTGCATTCTCTCTTGTCTTTATCCACAAGATGTCCAAATTTGTCTAATTTTAATGTTTGTTTTTCTGTTCCTACTGGAGAGGTTCCAACTTGAATCTAAGTTTAAGACTGTGTGGTCAGTCACTTCTCAGTTAACCATTTGTTTTCCTGGAGAATTCTGACATCACAGTTTTCTACCTCACAAGGTAGCTTAAGTACTCCACCCCTCTGTGCACTGATAACTGGATATAAAGGGGCACTAAGTCAGAGCAACTAAAGCAGGTTAGGAGAGGGAGAAAAAGCAACAAAGACACAAATTTGTTATCATTTATAAACATCCATTCTCATCACTTACCACACTAGAAATAATATTTCCCATAACCCAGGAAACTTAAGATCATATTTGACAAAAATAACAACAGATAAGAATGCTTTGCAAAGAAAAAAGCACAAGGATCATGACTAACTTAAATCAATGAAGTGGCTGATAAAGGATCAGCCATTTGGGTAATCCCAGGGACTACTCTATAAAGCTTTTCCTATTTCCTTCTTTGAATTTCTTTTCAGTCACATCCTCAGATTTTCAGAATGGAACTGAAGTCATCATAATAAATAGTTCTCTGCAGTCTTTACTGATGATCAGCATTCCTTTCTGGACAAGGATTATTTTGCCAGGGTCTCTCTATGCTCTTAAATGACGAGTGAGATCCTTTTATGACCAAGAGGAAATAGTGAATAGCTATGAACGTGATCTCTGAAGACAGGTTGCCCGGGTCTAATTCTCACTCTGCCAACATGTGTGCTGAATATATATTACAATGCACTCTTGTCCTATTCTTCTGGGACTTCAAAGATATAAACACTAGATGTATTGTTTCACAGGTCCATGAGCCACTGTTCATTTTTTTCAATATTTTGTTTTGTCTTTCAGATTGGAGAATTTCTGTTGTTTTAACATCAAATTCACTGACTCTTTCTTCTCTCATTTCTATTCTGCTGTTGAAACCATTCAATGAATTTTTTATTTTGGTTATTGTATTTTTCAGTTCTACAAGTATTTCCATTTGGTTCTTCTTTATATCTTCTATTTCTCTGCAGAGACTTTTCATTTGTTTCCAGAGTATTTGTCTTTATATCTTAGAACATGTTTATAATAACTGCTTTAAAGTCTTTGTCTGATAATGACAACATCTATGTCCATTTGTGGTTAGCACATTTTGATTCTCTTTTCCTTTAAGAGTTTTCCTGTTTTTCTATGACAAGTTGTTTTGGATTGCATTCTGTACATTTTAGGTATTTTGTAATGAGACTCTGGACATTATTTAAATTCTATGAAGAATCTTGATTGTTTTCTTTTAGCAGGCAATCAACTAAGTCAAGCTCAGCCGGCAAGTTCTGACTGCCTTCTGATATCGGTTCCAATGTTAGCTCAGTGTTCAAATATTTTTAGTGCTATTCACATCAGGCCCTTATATGCACCACCCAGTGGCCAGTCTGGGACCTGAGTGTGTTCCACTCAGTACTTAGTTCTTAAAGCCTGTGGTATGCTGTTTAGGTCCTGAGCCACATGTGCACAAAACTAGAGAGGATCTCAGGATTGGTCTCTTGATGTCTCTCCTCTTTGTGGCTTTCCCATCATTTTCTGGATTCCCTGGGTCTCCCTTCCTGGTCCTCTAGCCAGAAAGCTTGGGCTTTATTTTCCCTGCTCTGCTGCAGACTTTCAGTAATTCTATCTGCATATAGGGCAATGAAGCAGGATGACACAGAGGGAAAAAAGTGCTCTTGCAGTCATGCTCTTCTGATCACAGGAAGGGTTCCCTCCCTCAGAGTTTTAGGCACCTGCCTGGACACTGCTGCCATCACTGTGCTTCTGTAACAATATAGCTTGGAGGCTGGGGTAGGCTGGGGTAAGAAAAAAATAAGAAAAAACAGGAGACTTCTCAACTCTCTGACCCTCAGGAATTCCTTTTGCAGCTCCCCAGTCCAGAAAAAGAGGGCTTCTTTTACAGCTCTTTCAGTTCACACTTGGTATGTGATTCTGAGTTTTGGAGTGCTGTTGAGTACATGCCGTGTGATATTGGAGGGAAAAAATGGTAAACTCTCACTGGTTTGGTGGAGCTTTGAATGCTAGTCTCCATCCCCAATTCACCTGCTCCCTTTCACAGTTCAGAGTTCTCAGAGCTCCATGCTTTAAATCTGTCCATGATTTATGGTTGCACTGAATGATGTGGTAGAAGAGACAGGAGAGAGTGTGCTGATTCCATCTTTCCCAGAACTGGTACCCTGTTTTAAGAGGTTTTCAATCAAAATCTTTAGATGCGTAAGCTAATCTCTGAATTTTCCATGTGTTTCAGTCAGATTCTCTGCTGCTATTTGGTGGTGAAATATGTGAATCTCTCAGACGGCACTGAATCAGGAAGCATTTAACCTGTTCCAGTGGTTTTACAAATTGGTCTTTCCAAAAGTGACAACTTCCAGAGCTACCTCAGGAGAAATGGTGCATACAGGTCTGGTCTTTCCATATATCATTTGGTAGAAATCTGACAGCTCAAGGTATATACTACACAATTATGGTATGAGAAGGATGTTGGTTTACTTCATGCAGCCCATTAGCCCCATCTTACAAAAGTCAGGATTAGTGTTTCACCCACAGACTTGGGATACTTCTTTTCATATAGTAATGAGTTACGGTCAAGGCAAGTTCACAACTCTGCTCATGTTTTGGTCATTTCTACAATTATACATACTCTTCCTGGCTGCTGGAAAAAAAAAACATTATTGAACTTGTAAATCCTCATTGCCAATGCTTTACATTCTTTGTAGATTTCACTGGGCGTAATCGATCGGAATACTTTTCCCAAAAAAGTGAACTGAGGAAAAAGGAAGTGGAGATGGGAGAGAAATAAAAAAAAGAAAGAGTGTGGAAGCTATGGGAGAGGTGAATGGGAAGATGAAGGAGGGGGAAGGAAGGAGATGGGGAAGGCAAGAGGGAAGTAGGGGAAAGATAAAGGGGACAAAAGAATAGTAGAAGGTATGAAATGTGTAAAGAAGTGTCTGGCGTTTTATAAAGAACTGCCCAGCTTGAACCCAGGCAAAGGGAGTGTTAGGAGGTTGACCGGGAGGATGGGGGCAACGGGGACAGCTGATCTGGCTGAAGGAGAAAAGGAGTGACGCTGGACTCAGCGGGGCACACAGGCCAAGACATGGAAGCTGGAGTGGGCCACACCAAAGAACACATCCTTGGAGCTGGACAGAGACCAAAGCGATCAGGGGGACAATGGGCTGGGAGTAATCAGCACAATGCCTCTTTCTCCCCCATAGAAGGAAAAATTATTGCTTAAAAAATATGAAATATTGCTACAGGGAGTAAGAAACAAACCAGAAAGTGGGAAAAGCATCTTCTTTTAGGCGTCCAATAAAATAAGTATTAACCATATGCAATGGTGAAGGCATGTGATTTAATTTTCAGCTCATTCTTTAAAAAATCTTAAAATCTGTCTTACCTGAATTTGTTTCTTTCCTCCCGTTCTATTCTCTGCAACCTTTCTTCTCTCTCCTGTCGCCGCCTCTCTCTCTCTGCCGCCAAGGACTCTTGGTGCTGCCTAAAGGATGACGTGAGAAGACCACTCAGTGATGACCTAAAGATACAATGGGTTAATGTTTGATTGGCTTGTCCAGTGATTAAAAGTACTAATGCAGGAATCAGTAAGTCCTTGGTTAGAACTGAGGGTCTGCTAGTACCTAGGTAATACATGGGGAAAATTACTGAGTGTCTCAGGTAAATAACCTGCTTCATGTGCTCAGAGGACAGAAAAGTGATAATGCATATAAAATACTAAGCAACATGCTTGGCATACAAGCAGTCATCAATAATCAGTGCTATTATTATCAATAAGTATTCTAGGAATATACTTAAAATATATACACATTATTCTCTACACACACACACACACATTTTAAAACTGGTCTATGATAAGACTTTGATGAGCTGGAATCAACATTCAATCTAAAACTTTTCTATTTTACATGTACTAAAAATATTTTGCTATACACCAGTTTCTCAATATACCTCCAAAAATAGTTATGTCATCTTAAAACAAGATGTTGGGATGACGGATAAGGAGAAAAAGACAGCAATGGTCTGAAATCTGAATGCAATTAAGGAAGTTTCATTCCATGTCAAAAGCATCCATGAACATGCAGCTTATTCAGAGGACGGCACTTGACTCTGGTAATACCACACAAACAATCTGGACTGTTCACTGAAGATGCTGTGTCGGGGAAGGTCAGCTGTGTGACGGCCTCAGTGAAGAATCACAGGAAATGTTAAGTCAGGAGAATGGGTAGGAGAAGGCAAAATTAGATAACTACATGGAAAATAAAGAAGAGGGTTAGCTGGTAAGAAGAGTCTGTTGGACCCCTGGGGAATAATAAACATAATCTGTTACAGACAATTGGCCCTTCATTTATTGAGGGGGAAAAAAAAACTTCTAAACTAAGACACAAATATTTCTAATATATAGCTTGGGTAATAGCCTACTTGAATTCGATGAAAATATACCTGTCTGGTGGGGAACACAAGGTCCTCCCAGGAGAAAGATGTGACTCTTCCATCACATACATTCTGCCGTAAGTCACACAGCTGCTCTCCCTAGAAAAGGTGAGTCACCTCTGGATATCAATCAGAGGTGGGAGGAGAAGTAGAGGGAAGAAACCACTATCCCCAGTAGCTACAGGGAGGGAGTAACCAAATCCTATGTAAGCAGCTTTTGGCAGGAAAGAGCTCTCTGCAGGAGAGAGCTCCTTTTGTCTTGTCACTTTAGCAAAGCTATATTGTAACTAACCTTAAACCAGGAGCCCCCATGCCCTACTCATCTCCGGCCCAAGCATACGTTTTAAACCTTTTGATCACACAATACCTTGCTTAACCTGTTGGTTCTTTCCTTAGATCAAAGAAGTAAAAATGAAGAATAAGTAATTAACAGATGACTAAATCTTTTCCCCAGCTTCCCTGTCAGTAATCCTATGAACAAACTGTTAAAACAAGATAGCATCTAAAGAAAGATTACAAGGAGTTGACAAGACTGCATGCAATGGGAGATGGCAATGAAGTTGACCCCCTATCTCAATGATTGAGATTACTCCCCCTTTTTCCCTTTAAAAATGTTCATGGCTGAGCAAAATCTTCAGAGTTGGTTTTGAGACATGAGTCCACCTTCTCCCCAGGATGCCGGTTTTCTGATTAAAGCAACCTTTCTGTTTCTACCAGCACTTGAATCTTTTTTTTTTAATTTTAATTTAATTTTACTTTTTAAAATTAAGTTTTATTGGAGTATAGCTGCTTTACAATGCTGTGTTAGTTTCACTGTACAGCAAAGTGAATCAGCTATACGTATACATATATCTCCTCTTTTTTGGATTTCCTTCTCAGTTAGGTCACCACAGAGCAATGAGTAGAGTTCCCTGTGCTACACAGCAGGTTCTCATTAATTATCTATTTTATACATAGTAATGTACATATATCAATCCCAATCTCCCAATTCATCCCACTTCCCCCTTCCCCCTCCCCCCACCCAGTGGGGACATCTGTTCTCTACATTTGTGTCTCTGTTTCTGCTTTGCAAGTAAGTTCATCTGTATCATTTTTCTAGATTCTACATATAAGCGGTATTGTACGATATTTATTTTTCTCTTTCTGACTTACTTCACTCTATATGTCAGGCTCTAGGTCCATCCACATTTCTGCAAATTGCACAATTTTGATCCTTTTTATGGCTGAGTACTATTGCATTGTATATATGTACCACATCTTCTTTAACCACTCTTCTATTGATGGACATTTAGGTTGTTTCCATGTCCTGGCTATTGTAAATAGTGCTGCAATGAACATTGGGGTACATGTATCTTTTTGACTTATGGTTTTCTCCAGGTATATGCCCAGGAGTGGGATTGTTGGGTCACATGATAGTTATATTTTTAGGTTTTTAAGGAACCTCCATACTGTTCTCCATAGTGGCTGTATCAATTTACATTCCCACCAACAGTGGAAGAGGGTTCCCTTTTCTCCACACCCTCTCTAGCATTTATTGTTTCTAGATTTTTTGATGATGGCCATTCTGACTGGTGTGAGGTGATACCTCATTGTAGTTGTGATCTGCATTTCTCTAATGATTAGTGATGTTGAGCATCTTTTCATGTGTTTGTTGGCCATCTGTATCTCTTCTTTGGAGAAATGTCTATTTAGGTCTTCCACCCATTTTTTTGATTGGGTTGTTTGTTTTTTGATATTGAGCTGCATGAGCTGTTTGTATATTTTGGAAATTAATCCCTTGTCAGTTGCTTCATTTGCAAATATTTTCTCCCATTCTGAGGGTTGTCTTTTCATCTTTTTTATGGTTTCCTTTGCTAAATCACTTGAATCTTGAGTATTGACTTTTGAGCAGAGAGCAGCCAGACCTAAGTTTAGTAACACCTATATTCTGGGCTCACTAGGCAACTACTATAGCACCTTGGACCTGTAGGCATAGATAGAATTTTATTTATCTTTCATATAAACAAAGTCCAGACTAGCTTGTGTAACTTCTATCTTATTTAAGGTACTGTTACCTATTTATTTTTCTGTTATATACAGCCAAATCTAATCCACGATCAGAGTGGAGGGGTTTCCTATGCCACTCACACAGTGATTGAGAGAAATTGTTATGAATGTAACAGACTTGTTTAACTTGATTAATAGGTTTAACCTAGCAGATGACCATATATAACCTGGTGCCCCAAATTAAAGAAAATGCAATCTTCTCAAATACACAGGAACTATTCAAAAACTGATGGTCAATCCTGTGACAAAGTTCAAGCTCGTGAACGAATACCAAGAATTGGTTTTCATGTGGGCTACCTTCCTAACCAAAATGCCGTTGAGTTAAAAATAAATAACAAGAAGATACATCTGAAAAATCCATATAATTGGAAAAATTTAAAACCTTTCTAATTAACTCAGGTCAAAGAAGAAAATTAGAAAACATTCAAAGAGTATCATAATGAAAAGACTATATATCAAAACTTTTAGGATGCTTCTAAAGCGTAATGAGTGAGCAACTCAACAATTTGAAAAGCAAGAATGTAATAAATTCATTATTCTTAGGAATAGAAGAGAGCTTTCTAAACCTGACAATGGGTATTCAGTAAAAAAAAAAAATTTTTAACTATGGTAAGTGTCATTCTTAATGCTGAAACATTAAGAGCAGTTTAACATTAGAAGTGATACAAGGATACCCCCAGAATTGCCTGTATTTGAAGTTATTCTTAGCCAGTACACGAAGTAAAACAAATAAAAGCATAAGGAAGGGAAAGAAATATGTCATTATTTGCAGATAATATCAGCTTTTTAGAGAATCAAAAAAAACCCTACAAGTTATTAGAATTAATAAGAGTCTAGCAAGGTTCTCAATATAAAACGTACAAATAGCAATTGTATTTTCATATATCAGCAACAATTTACCAAGTTAACCACAAGGTAACTATGAATTACTTAATTATATGAAAGACATTTATAAAACTTTATTAAAAGACCCAAATGAATGATAATTATATCACATTCACATATAGAAAGATTCAATACAGTCGAGATGCCAATGCCAATTCTTTTTCAACTTATACAATTCTAATACAATTCCAAATCAATTTTATTCAACATTCCAAAAGGATTTTCCATGGAACGTTACAAGGTGGCTCCAAAATTTTTATGGAGGAACTGAGATCCAGGAATAACCAAGACAATTTTGAATAAGAACAAAGTGGATCACTGGCCCCACTGTATATCAAGCCCATTCTAAAACCACAGTGATTAAATGTGAATGTGGTCTTGGTGCAAGAACAGAAACATGGAATGACACAGGCTCATACACATACGGAATCTTGATTCATGATAGATGTGTCATTACTTATCAGCAGGAAGGAAATGAACTATTTAACAAACGGTGCTGAGACAACTATTAGCTACATAAGACAAAATACAGTTAGCCCTTCCTCATACCAGACACAAAAATAAATTCTAGGAAGTTTAAGTGAAAACGTAATAAGCAAAACTTTACAACTTCTAGATATTAGGATAAGAATTTTTTTAGACAAGAAACCCAAAAGGGAAATCAAAAAGGGAAAATTTAATACATATGCATATGTTAAAATTTAAAATTTGTATACATTGAAAGACTAAGGATAAAGAAAAGCCACAGCCTGGGAGAAGCTAACTATAACACATACAAACCACAAAGTATTAGTAAACTCAATACAAAGAGAACCCCTCTAAATCAGTATGAAAAAGACAAACTACCCAGGGGAAAAATGGGCAATGGAAAAATGAGCAAAAGATAATGGGCACTTCACTGAAGAAGAAAATTAAATCGCCAATAAATATATGAACGCTACTCATCTTCACCAGAAATCAGGGAAAGGAAATGTAAGCTAAACCCATAGTGAGATATTGTTTCACACCTCTCAGGTTGAAGATCGACAAAAATTAGTGCCTGATGACACTAAGCACAGAACGAGACAATAAGAACTCCTATATATTGCTTCTGGGAGTCTAAGTTGATAAAATCATTTTGGAGAAACTTAATACATTTGAAGATGTGCATATCCT